CCCCAAAACCCCAAAACCCCAAAACCCCAAAACCCCACTTCCAAGTACAATTATTGATTTCTAAATTCAATTTCAAACTTAATGGAGTCAAAGAATCTTACTAAAAGTTACTGAAAGGAATCAAGTCTCATTTCTGAAGAAGAAAAAGCAGACAAGGTCAATATTAACTATAGTTATGTTGAAATGAGCCCCCAGAGGGGCAAAAGCAGTTCAGCCTCTATTGACAAAATCAAAAATATTCAACTCGTTGGTAAAGTGGTGGTGTAATTTTATATAGAGCGGAGAAATTGGAAGGGCATCTACCCTCCAACTGTTGGCCATAAGCTACAGAAAAACGAAAATAGTCTGGAGACTATCTTAACTCATTTATCCAAGACTCAAATTAAGGCAGCCCAAGAAGCTACTGATTCATTTCGAAATAAAACTGAGCATGTGCCAAGACTAAGTGGCTGCAAAAAGGGTAAATTTCACGACAAATTAATAGAAATAAGAAGCATGGTGGTTCTCACTGCTCTACTAAAAGTACTCAAAATGAAAAACTTCAAAATAATCAGTAAGAAGCATAACAATTTTATGCATTAACAATACTTAGAACACAGGAACAAAAGATCTGAGAGCCGCAATAAAGAGGCCAAGAGAAAAGACAGAGGTCATTCAAAAAGGTAACTTTTTTATCTTAATTCTTTTCTATAGGAAGAAAAGTGAAAAGAGGCCTTCTACTGGGTCTATATGTAAGAGAAACTCCACTGCCCTTCCTGAGTAAGTACTATAATTTACCAATTTAGTGAGAACAGTATGATAAAAGTAGGCTATCCGTCCTTGATATCGTAGAACAAGATGAGAAAATATGGCTACTACTTTGAGCAAGAGAATGAAGACAAAGGATACGAAGTTATCAAATTCAAATGTATCAAAGAATCTGAAATGGTTAAAAAGACTGAATACCAGAGCAGCATGTACTCTAAGTTCAATCGTATAATCCATTTGGATAATTCATCAGCTTAGTATTACTTTTTAAGCTGATAAAATGAGACATCAAGCTCATTAGGTCTATCTTCCTGAACAATGGATTTACAGCTACTGACTCTCATGACTGGAATTGTCTCTGGATCAATTCTAGTGGGAAGAGCTATCTATACGAGAATCTTAACAGATACCAGAAGATCAATCATTTTCCTCACAGCTATGAGCTTACTAGGAAGGATAGACTAGCGTACAATATTGGAAAGATGCAGAGAAGATTTGGAGAGCTTGATTTTGATATCTCTCCTGAAACTTTCGTCCTCCCAGACCAATTTGATGACTTTTATGAAAACTATAAGTTTCTTAAATAAAGAAATCCCTGAGAGAAATATGTGGATCATTAAGCCAGCAGCTGGCGCAAGAGGGAAAGGAATCTACGTAACCGATGATATTGATGATATTAATGAGGATAGCTCAAATGTAGTCTCAAGGTACATTACCAATCCTCTTCTCATAAATGGTTACAAATTTGATCTGAGGATTTACGTCTGAGTCACTAGCTACGAGCCGCTAAGAGTCTATGTCTATAAAGAAGGCCTAGTACGATTTGCTTCTGAACAGTACGAAAATTTCAATGAGCAGAATATTCAAAGTGCAGGTGAAGACGAAGAAGAGGTAAGAAAGCTGATAAAATTTTAGAATTATTATGCTTCAAACAAAGAGAATAAATAAATGGAGGAAGAAACGTTACGCACACCTGACTAATTATAGCATTAATAAAAAGAACTCTAATTTTGTTAAGAACGAATCCCTTGATCAAGATGATGTAGGTGGAAAATGGAGCCTCTCAGTTTTGTGCAAGCATATGGAAAAGATTGGTATTGATATGAGTCTTCTATGGTCAAGAATATACGACATCATTCTCAAGGTCATTATCACAGGAGAGTATCCAATTACAAAGAAGCTCAAGACCTCGAACATTGACCAGAGAAACTGCTTTGAACTATATGGATTTGACATCCTAATAGACTCAGAGTTGAAGCCCTGGTTAATAGAAGTAAATCTATCGCCTTCATTAGGGACAGATTCTCCTCTAGACTTTCATATAAAGTCAACTCTCCTCACAGATACATTCAATCTAGTAGGAATTAAATAGGTTCGATCGTAAATAAGGAAAGTTTGTCCAAAATGGCAAGCAGAGTCAGGAATATTGCTGAAGAAAAGAAGACCAAAAATATCCTCCAGCGGTACAAGAAGTTACTAGAGAAAACAGGTGGTAAATCTGGCTCTAAATAAATCTCATAATATTGAAAACAAGATTGGAGACAACAATCTTGTGACTAATGCTTATGATAATGAACTATTCTACTCTAATATTAGCCCTCAGTCTGCAAAGAAGGATATTAAGGAGAAGAATTGTTTCAGCTCCCTTGGAGAGAAATGTCAAGATCTCCTCTCAAAAATGTCCTTGGCAAAATTTAAAAGTGAGATCCTTGAAACTCTTGAAGAGCGATGCCGCACAGGAAATTATGTATGAATTTATCCCTCTGAGGGCTGAAATATGTATGATTACTTCTTTATTAACACAAAGCAAGTTAACTGAGCGATTTATGAATTTTTATACTGTCCAAAATACGGCTTTCTTAAAGAAATGAAAGAAGATGTGATTCTTGACGTCTCAAAAAGACTCAATTTTGGAGAGATCCAATCAACAAAATATCTGAACAACTTTGGTAAAGATAATCTAGAAAACTCCTGCCACAAACCTAAAACTCCGAAGATACTCGAACTAGTTGTGGAATACCTTAGTAGACTTGTTATTTCAATCAAAGATCTTGAAGGAAAAGTTTTGAAATCTTCTCTTAGAGAGAATATTAATTCCTTTGTGTCTCACAAAAATTGGTCTAAAAGTCTCATTACTAGTATCAACTCTTTTTCAGTAAGCAACAATGAACTTGCTGCTAAACTAATGGAACGGATTGAAGACAGTTTGTTCGATACGTTCCATTTCTCTGAATTCAAGAACAATAATTCTGAGAATCAGTTCTTCAATACATTTGAATACTCCAAAAATGTGGCTAAGAAAGTCGAGAAAGCCATTTCCAAACGAGAAGTACCTGCCTTCATGAAGGATCCATTAAGGTAACCCACTGTGTTTATCCATAGCGACAAAGACCTTGAAACCAGCATCCTTACAGCAAAGATTTCAGGTACCATCTATACTCAAGACATGTTGAAGCTTCTGATTCCTGAATCAGGCTCAGGAGTTCTCATAAAATTCAAAAAGATGGCGATTCATTCCCAAACCCAGTCAAGTAATGTTTTCAAATTAAACATAGGGGATAATTCGAGGATAGAGGAAAAGAAAGTCCAAAGAGTTATGAAGACCTCTGGTCACTCTCAAGGAAGTTCTTTCTTAGAAAAGACATCTATAATCCCAGATAGAAGGATGTTCAAGGCTAATCGGAAAATAGAGGCATCTTCCAATTTTTCAAAGGAGACGAAGTTCCCAGTGATAGTTGCACAGGAGAGCCAGGTATTTCGCATGATTATTCTGTAGAAAATGGATATATACAGTTATGTAACTCATACAGAGAAATTTAAAAATAAGCCTGTAAGATTAAGATAGTAATTCTCTAGAAGCCAAAGCCTTTGAAAGATTTTACGAAGCTAGTTAAGATTAAAGATAGTAAGAAAAAGAGGAAGAATGCCCCTTCCTCCAACTATATAGAGACTCTTTATAACCCTAGAGGAGTATGAAATTTTATATATAACATGTGTAGCTATCTCATGGACGGAAGAAAGGCAAACTGCATAACTTGTTGAGGGAAATCTAGTCAGAATTCATGAAGTTTGATTTCTCAAAATATTCAATTTATTCTTAAAAATTTGGGGTTTTGGGGTTTTGGGGTTTTGGGGTTTTGGG